TCTCGTTTCTGTCGTTTCTGTTTCCGTCTGTCTTTTCTGCTTGTGACTAGTCTGGTTTCATTGGGGGCGAAGGTATGGCTTCAATCAAATCAGATAGAATGCAAATAAAACAAATTGGGTAAATCCTTAACTTTTTGTATGTTTTATGATGTGCTACCGAGGTATATACTATGTAGTGCTAAGGTGTAATGATAACTGGATAAGACTTGCCCAGGCTTTACTTTTAGTATTAAAAGGGGGATAAATAACATGTCCATTCGATATAATACATCTAAAGTAGAACCATTTCCAGTCCTGGATGAATATCACATCTCATTGAGACCTCTTGGCAGAGATGCCTCAGGCGGGAGCCAATGCAAGGCTGACTCCACGTAATTGGCACTTCCCTCCGATCAACTCCCAACTTTATTCTGTACAGCCAACGGATGTTGTGCTGAAACGGCTTCTACTCCAGCTTCTCATGCCCCCGTGATCCCCGTGATCATGTCGCGGAGGACGCTGGGTGGAGGTCGTGTTCTGGGCAACCCAAGCGCTCTTACATCAACTCCGTCCCCGCAGCCGAAGCCACGGGTGCTCTCGCCGACCGCCAGCAGCGTTTCCCTTAATTCACAGGCCGCATCACAGCTCTCGACAGAAACTCAGGATCTCACATCGCGCATTTCAATAGAGAATGGCGATACTTCAATATCTGCTGCCCCAGCTGCTCCGGGGGCTGAGCTCTCCTGCCCGATCTGCAGCGAACAGATGGTATGCTTGTTCTCATGCCCTGTTTGTTTTTTTGAAGATAAAGTGGCATGATACTGACTTGTATCTAGATGACTTTGCTGCAGCTGAATAGGTACCCGATCCATCGTTCCCCCCTCACGAGCGCCTTAACGTATGGTTAACGATTTGACGCAGACATCTCGACGACATCCATCAGAACCTAGAAGATAGCCACCAAGATGAAGTCAAAGACTGGTTCAAGGTCCAGATGGAAAAGGCAAGGAAATTTCAACCTCTAGCTGTCCTGAACCAGAAGTTGAAAGGCCTGGATGTGTTCGAATCAAACGAGAACCAGGGCGCGCCTCTCCCCAGCCGCCCACTAGCATCCCATGCAGGCATCCCTGAAACTCCGAGAGTACTAGACCCCGAGGACCTTATCACAAAAGAACACTGGCAAACAAGTTGTATGTACGACGAGTGTCTAGAACCGTCCTGTGGGAAACGATTGAATGCCACCAACGGCTGCGTGAACTGTCGGAGTTGTGGGAAACTGTTTTGCGAAGAACACACGATGTACCAAATGAAGCTCTCGCGGGCGGCACATCATGAACCGGTGCGAGGAATATGGGCTCGAGTATGCGAAACCTGCTACAAGTCAAGAGAGGGGTACAATGATCATAATGGTGAGCACATTGGTATTCAGTCCTGAACCAAGCTAATCAGGCAACAGGAACCGTGAGGAACCAAATGGATGCGTTCAAGTCAATAAGAAAACAGACTGTCGATAAGGAATTTTTGGAGATTTCCCGGCTTGAGAAACGACTGACCCGTCTCACTCAGCTGTTGGCTAGTCTACCGCCAGATCAAATACAACCCAGTGCAACCAAACTCTTTTCTCTTGCGTGGCAAAATGATCAACGGAAGGAAATAGAGCAAACGATCGTCAGCTGGCAAGATGATGCCAGTGTCTCACGATGCCCATTTTGCCAACAGGATTTTTCGGGCTACACATTTCGCAGGCACCACTGCAGAACTTGTGGACGAGTCGTCTGCGGCGATCCTAGTACCGAGTGCTCTAGTGAGGTTGGGCTCAGCATTGCTCCTGGTGAGTTCCGAGATGAACCTTACCTGTGACTTTGATCTAATTTCTAACAGGCTCGACAGCGACCTCCGAGAAAACCAATGCCGATAACCTTGTCAATATTGATGTGAGGTTGTGCAAGGAATGTAAAGCGACGCTGTTTGATCGACGTGACTTTAAAGCAGACATGATGCGAAAGCCACCGGAGATCAGGGCCTATGAAAACTTGACCCAGTTTGAGAGGGGCATCCGCCTTCATCTACCTAGATTCCAAAAGCTGTTGGCAGCTTTACAGTATGTTTTCGTTTCCGGTGTTCCACTTCGTCACTAACGGCATTGTATCAGGGATCCGAGGCGACCTCCATCATCGGCTCAGATTGCAGATGCATCCAAGGTGCGCAAGCGACTGATTGACTCTTTTGCGCAATATGATGTTGCGGCTCGACGTATCCGTGACATGCCAACCCAGTCCCCCACGCAACAAAAGCTGCAGAAGGCTATATACCAGCAAGCCAGCAACTTCCTTCACCTCCATATGTTACCTTTGAAATCCCTCCCCAAAATACTCAAACATACAACTGCCGCGTCAGAGAGAATACCCAGCCGGACAAGCTCCCCGAGTACACCGGTCAGTGGCTCTACGACAGGTCTCCGGCCACCAGAGTCCGCTCTTTCATCCATCAAGTACAACAGTGTTGCCGCCAGCGGTAGCAATACTAGCCTATCCAGCGATACCAGCAGTGCTGTCTCGGCCCTGGAAGCAGAGGAAAAGTCTCTCCGAGACCGGCTGATCGTGCTAGAAGAGCAGAAGTTCTTTGTGTCTGAGATGATCGCCGACGCAAATAGGCGGCGCAAATTCGATGAAGTGAGCAGCTTAGCGATGAACGTCGAGGACCTGAGCCGTGAGATCGATCGCGTCAGTGGCATGCTCGCGGGTCTCGATTTCGAAGGTGTTTACACGGGGAATTTGCAGCCGACTTGAATTTTAATTATTGGGATTGGATTTTCGTTCACACACGCTACCTGCACACCTTCCTTACGTCTTTTGGTCAACCACCCGTCTACTCTCGCTTGCACCTTTTTTTAATCTTGGTGTTCTGGCGTTCGAGCACTTTGTTTTACGATGATATATGCATAGCATCGGGCGTTGGTTCTTTCTAGGATATATACAATCAATGGCTTTTCTATATATATTTGGCTGTTCTTTCGTACTTTAGATGGTTTTGAAGTTGTTTATATCCACTATAGACGATCATATCTATCCGCTTGATCAAAAGCCTACTCGCAGGAGTCGAAACCCTTCTCCCACTCTCAACAACTAAACAGAAGCGACACACACAAGAACAACGTAGCAGACACCTCCCACAATGTATAGCACATATCTACACCCCAGCACAATAACAAGTGCTCCCTTTCCCACTCCCTTTTCAGCTTTAGCAAAGTAGCCATGGTGAAGACTTGAGGAAGAGGAATCGGTATCGAAACGGTGCTGAAGTAGGACACGAGCTAAAGCGTGTCAACGGAGAAATTGAGAGAAACACAAGATGCTATACCTTTAGTCGAGAGGCAAACAGAGGAAGTGATCTGCGTAGCACCAATGTGTTGAGGAGTAGCAATGAAGATTCCGAGCTGTCAATGGCAGAGATAACTACCTATAACGACCACCATCAAGCCATTTATATAGTAGCTTCACGACAGAGACACAAGAAGAAAACAAAGACCAAGGCCTAACAGATCCAATGCCTCAGAAGCACTGTAACCAAAAAAATGCGTCAGATGGAACCATTAATGAAGGTGTCTTCAGGGTGTTTCTAAGGAAACAGAGAATATCGTTCTACAGGTAATTCCAAGCTATTCTCTACCATGCAAAATTGTGGTATAAGCTATTTCCATTCTTGTGTACATATTATATACACCTTGGCCTTCGACCTATTGTTGAACTCACTCACTTGCCCTGTCCAGGTGGAGGTACATACATGTGGTAGGTAAGCACCTGGATGCTGACCGGTGGGGAGCCAGGGGATCCCAGTAGGATGGGACAATATCACTATTGTCTTAACTCCGGTATGCAGGCAACTGTCAACTGTCTTAAAGGCGACCCCTGAAATAGCCCACCAGCTTAGGACACGACTCAGTGGCGTTGTCGTACAAAGCAGTATGGTCCCGTCCTTCAATAATGAAAAGCTCCTTTGGCTCCTTCTATTCCGGGGTAAATGCCCACAAATACATACAGGTAGGTGCACCGTGTCTCTGACAATCAGTACTAAAAGTTTTGAGGCTTAACTACTAGTATTCTATTAATTACTGACTGTTATTGTTTCTTATAAAATACTGGAACGTATTTGGTCTACTATGAGCATGATGTTTGTTCAGTTCATTGAGTCCACACTAGATAGATTCATCACAGCCTTAGATCTGCTCTACCAACTGCAGATTCAAATGAACCGACTTGAGTTGCGAGTACGCATCCAACCCTGCCTGGCCTAATTCTCTCCCAATACCACTCTGCTTCACTCCACCAAAGGGCACGCGGAAATCACTATTGTTGCTGGAATTAATCCAGACCATGCCGGCTTTCAACTTGCTAGCCACTCGATGAGCGCGCGTAATATCACTTGTGCACACAGCAGCGGCAAGCCCATATTCCGTCGCGTTCGATAACCGGATTGCTTCTGCCTCGGTTGAGAATTTGACGAAAACTGCAAATGGCCCGAAGATCTCTTCTTTGTAGATTCTCATATGCGGCTGCACGTCACGGACGATCGTAGGTTCAACAAAGAATCCTTTACCGTTGGGTCGAGCTTCGGCAACCTTGCCGCCGGCAACGATCGTGGCGCCTTCCTCCTGGGCAATTCTGCCATATTCGAGAATCTTTTCAAATTGATCCTTGGAGACTTGTGGGCCTTGGTACGTCTTTTCCTCGAATGGGCAGCCAATGACTTGGACTTTCGTAACGTATTCTTTGAAGCTTTGGACGAAAGTATCGTAGATCTTATCGTGGACGAAAATCCTGGATGTTGCAGTGCAGATTTGGCCCATGTTGCCCATCACACCATAATGTGCCCACTTGACTGCATTTGGGATCTGAGCGTCATCGAAAATGACAAGAGCGCTTTTACCCCCTGTCTCAAGTGTGATGTTCTTCATGGTATCACTGGCCATCCGCATGATCTGTTTACCTGTAGGTGTACTGCCAGTGAATGCCACCTTATCGACTTCAGGATGCTGGACTAAGGCTGACCCAGCTTCGCGACCATAGCCGTTGATGATATTGACCACCCCGGGCGGGAAGCCTACTTCAACAAGCATGTTTGCGAAATAGAGAATAGAAAGAGGCGTCTGCTCGGCTGCTTTGATAACCACTGTATTACCGCAAGCCAGCGCAGGGCCTAACTTCCACGCTGCCATCCCGAGCGGATAATTCCATCTAGATAAGTAGATAGGCCGTTAGCTTATAAAGAGTCTTGAATGGAAGCAAGTGGGTATTCCGGCAGGTTGGACAAGTCAAGCCGCCAAAGAAATATTGAAGGGGGAACTTACGGAATGATCTGACCACAAACTCCAATAGGTTCGCGCACCGTATAAGCAAACTTGGAGCGACTCGTCTCGATAGTTTGTCCGTAAGCCTTGTCGGCCCAGCCTCCGTAGTACCGGAAAACTGAGAAGACCTCCTCAATGTCACCCAGCGCCTGAGAGTATGGCTTGCCATTGTCTAGTGCCTCAATTGTGGCTAGAACATGTTGCTGGCTTTCAACCAAGTCGGCCAGCTTGTGCATCAACTTGCCACGAGCAGTCCCAACAAGATTTTGCCATTCTTCTCCCTCAAATGCAGCCCGGGCGGCACAAACCGCCTTGTCAACATCTTCCGCCGTAGCGGCATGGACTGAAGTAATCTCCTCCTCGGTCCTATGAATATGATACGTCAATTTCAAGCATACGTTGGTGTTTTGAAGTGGGGTACTGACGCAGGGTTGATAGATTGGAGTTTTTGGCTAGATGACGAAGCGACCCATTGGTTATTAATGAAGAGGCCGGTGGGCTGTTGGTAGCTCACACCATTGGGGGCCGTGATGGTTTGGGTCAATGTAGACATTTCGAACATATATTGCAAGATACTTTAGACCATGACATCTTGCGAGGGGACTGCTGTCTTTATGTGTGGCCAGTATCCCCCGGCTCTGCCCGGCACTTTCGTGACTAGAGATATGGGTATTTCGAGTGAGTTCGAGGCATAGAGAACCATCCAAGGAGAGATAGCTTACTTGCCTAATATGGGAAGAACACGAGGCCCACTAGTGGGGCGCCGAGCTTCCTATTTTACGTTCGAGGCGAAGTCCCGAATGGCGTCTCCACCAAATATAATCTCTGAGAAACTTTAGCACATGCCGTTTTTGCGCTGTAAAGTACGATATATGTGGAGTAGTCTCGGCCATTTACTTTATGTTGTTAACATTGGCCCATGCTCTATTGACTGAGCATGGGCACCATGACGAAACGTGTCGTCCTTTTATGAAATTTTGCAAGCCTGTGCGTCTTAGAAACCTAAGAGTGGATTCTACTAGACGAATGGCCACAGAGAGAGGAAGCGAGTGTTGATTTGAAGAGACAAGCTCTTAGAACTACTAAGTAGTTAGTTACAAACACTATCCTGAGCTACCCATCTCAAGCGCTTGCCTACCAGGCCTATCCCAACAAAGTACTTTACTCGATATTCACTATGATCAAATTTTCGGCAAGGATGGTTGCAATTTCACGGGCACTTTGTCGCATAGAAAGCCGTCAATGGTCTGAGTAGACGCATGTCCTCTTCCTCGCGCTTTGGTTACAAGCGCTTTGAGTGTTCTCATTTCTTCGAGCAAATGATCATCAGTAGCCTGGTTGTTGCAGTATTTCCCCTGGGTATAGTGACAATAGTTGCGCAGTCCGTTAACTTCCTTGGTTTTGCCGGGGGTGCCAGCTTTGAGAGGCTCGGTTTGCGGTACAAATCTAGCTGCTTGTGTACCGGTCAATCGATTGTAGATGTCAACCACGTCTTGGAAGCCGGCTGCCTCAGATATGGCCCAGATAATGCGATTCGCATATTTTGATGGGTCCAAGAGGACAGCATGTACAGCATCGCCGTAATCGTCTCTCACGGAGGTCCATGGAATTTTCTCCGGGTCATTGCCCATAGGGAAGACCTTCAAACTAAGAAAGCCTTCTGCGTCTGGAATAGTCGCGAATCCACCGAATGCCTTCGCGTACGTCTCCATAAAGAAAACATCCATGGCCCAGCCAGCATTGACCTCAACAAAGGCTTCAAACCCAGCCTTTCGTCCGTAGTTGGCAATGGCGCTCTTGTTGTCGAAGGACAGGATAGACACTTCCCCGTTCGTAACGCGGTCAGACTGTGGCAGTCCTGAGAAAACAAAGTATTTAACACTTTGACGGATGGCAGCGTCGATCACAATCTTGCCCATGGCGGATTCCGGTGGTCCGACCTCATTCTTAAAGTTTGGGTCGTCTGAGTCTGTGTTGAGAAACACTCCATAGGCGCCCGCGAACACTAAATCCAGCTCGGCTGCATTCCAGGAGTCGGCCTTTACCAACAAAAATCCCTGCTCGCGACACTTGCGGGCTTTGGGCGAGTTAGGATCGCGCGTTGTCAACACAACTTCGAACTCGGGATTGTCTTTCAGTGAACGAGCGACCGAACCGCCAAACATGCCAGTGCCGCCAATCACAACGATCTTCTTTGCTGACGCCATAGCTATCAGGCAGATGTCAAATATCTTAACAAAGGTTGTGTAGGAGCGTCGAAGAAGAACCGGGTATGAGCGAGACAGGTATGAGAAGGGAAAGACAAGTGATTAGACACATCTGTCATTTACATTATATAAATAAAATTTTCCTATGAAAGTAAATTTGGCCCAAATGAGGTAAAAGCATTAAGTTGCGTGAGGAGACACGAAGTTCGTTTAGTGTCCGTATTGGGCAAGTTGGGGGTGGAGCGGTAGACCCGACCAAACCCTGCCCAGGTGGCTTTGTAGATCTCTTTCTGAGTCCTCATGATCTATTAACACCTAGATTCCCAATACGGTCTACGCCGTAGTTTTTACATGAATTGAATAAAATGGAGCGGTACATGGGGAACAGAGAAGGCAATACGACTTAGTCACATTGAACTAACCGGCTGCGCTGGGGAAAAGAAGAAGAGGAAGAGGAGCAACTTAGCTACTCGGCAGTCTTGCCAAAAGGGTGAGGTGACCTCATCTCTGATCCCAAATAAAATGGAATTATGTTGTACTGTGAAAAAGCAATTCAGCATGAACTCGTCCATCAAGGAGTATAGATGATTCGACTGGAGATTACTAGGTCTCAAGGAAAATACATTTAGACGTATCTGCGGTAGAGCCTGAATTGTCTATAGCCGTCCCTTTCCAACGCCCCAGCTCAAGTTTCCAATAGTAACAGACTTGATGTTTTGGTATTCGCTGAGGCCGTAGCGACTGCCCTCTCGGCCCACGCCGCTTTCCTTGATGCCACCAAAAGGACTTTCCGCTGCGCTTATCAGACCAGTATTGACACCGATCATGCCGCATTCCAGCTGACGCGCGACGCGGAAAATTCGACTTACGTTCTGGCTGAAGAAGTATCCAGCAAGCCCATATTCACTAGCGTTGGCCTGTGTGATCACATCTTCTTCGCTCTCGAATGGAAAAATAGCCGCCAGGGGCCCAAAGGTCTCTTCAGTTGCGACAGCCATATCAGCCGTCGCGCCAGTGATGATTGTTGGCTCGAAGAAGAAGCCCGACAAATGGCTAGGTGGCTTCCCGCCTGTCCACAACTGGCCGCCTTTAGCTAATGCATCCGCAACGTGTACCTTTACTTTTTCCACAGCTGCAGCGTTGACAAGCGGGCCTTGAGTCGTTCCGTCGTCGATACCACGGCCTAGCTTGAGAGTCCGCACCTTGGCGGTAAGTTTCTCGGCAAAAGGCTCAAGGACTTGTCTATGCACGTAAAGCCGATTCGCACACTAGGACGATGACTGAGTTAACACCGCATTCTTTGGGGGGATGAGCGCGTATGCCTACCACGCAAGTTTGACCCGATGCACGAAATTTGCAAATCAATGCCGCATCGACTGCCTGGTCCAGGTCGGCATCCTCGAAGACTACAAAGGGAGCGTTCCCTCCAAGCTCCATACTGACTTTCTTCATCGTTTCAGATGCCAGTTTTGTCAGCATCTTACCAACGGATGTTGACCCGGTGAAGCTGATCTTGCGCACAAGCGGGTTGTTTGCTAGCTCTAGTGAAGCCTTGCGATCCTTGGTGGGGATAACATGGATGAGCGAAGAGGGAATACCGCCCTTTAATGCCAGCTTTGCGAGTGCAATCGCACTGAAAGGTGTCTCACTTGGAGGCTTAATCACCACGGAACAGCCAGCGGCAAATGCCGGAGCGATCTTGCGAGTAATCATGGCGGCAGGGAAATTCCATGGAGTGATAATTCCACACACCCCAACAGGCTCTTTGTAAGTGAGAACGGTTGAATTCGCATATGAGGAAGGAATCACGTCTCCGTAGTTGCGAACTGCCTCTTCAGCAAACCAGGCCACGAAGGTTGCCGCGTAGGTTACTTCTCCTTTGGCTTCGGCCAACGTTTTCCCATTTTCCAGAGATAAAATTATCGCCACTGGCGAAAGACGAAACTCAGTTTTCCACTACCGTGATTGGGAGTAAGAATGAGGGGGGTTCATAACTGACAGTCTTCCATGTTCTCAATTATAAGATCATGCCATCGCCGAAGAAGCTGTGCTCGGTCTTTGGCTGTTGTATCCTTATAAAAGCTCCTGTAGCCAACGTATGCGGCATTGATTGCTTCGACAAACTCTTCACGTCCAAAGTCGGCACATGAGTGAAGCACGCTGCCTGTAGCTGGCTCGTAGACGGGAAATGTCTTCTGATTGACGGCCTCCCGCCACTCGCCGTTTATCAGCCCCCGACAGTCCAACAGAGTAGGATCGCGCAAAGAGATTGGAAATTCAGTCGTGATAGCCATGATTTCTTGCGCAACTCAGCCAGGTGCGTGAGACCTTGAACCGGAAGTATGGAGCCCTGGGCATAAGATCTGAGAAGTTATGCTTGTTTTTGTATCAGCTGGAGGCCAAAAAATTCCATCGAGTGGATGATTAACACCCCAGTTCCCCCAAACGCATGTCATTCACTTCGGTACGGGACGGAGTCGAGAGACACGAGGACGCAGAGAGATCGCCAAAATGCTAGAACAAGCAAGAAGTTCGCACTTGTCCATAAAGTCCGTCGATTTCAAATCATGTGGAAAGTAAGAGTCGCCGTACTTTAATTTAGATTGGTTAATTGCACCTAATTGTGAGAGAAAATGCGACTAGAAACTTGGAACGGTAGGTACGGTACTCCGCCATATCATTCCAACCTTGGAAGGTTGTGATTTTACTTGCATAAGTGTCTCTACCGTCCCTTCCTCTTTTGGCTTATTGGCGAGCATTGGGGACTAGCGGGTACATAATCTCTACACTCGTTTTCCTATTAATCCATGGATAATAAACAGAGTTCCCTATGTGCCTTTAACAGAACTTGTTGCCTGTACCCATCTACTCCATATAAATTTTAATTTCGAGAGTCCAAGTCATCTCACATCTTTCCATGAGGTTCTGAGACGTCTCTGCTGATAAGCAGTTAACTGATAAATAAGCTTAGGAGTCTATGTCGGCCTTGATATTGCCCACAAAAGTGGTCTAAGATGTTGCAAGTGTAATTAGGATACTCCTAGCTAATATCTCTGCCCCCATCAGCCCAGGGCGTTGAGCAGAAGGCATTCAAAGTGAATCCGCCACTATGAGGCCCAGTCTTACATTGCTCCGGGTCTTCAACGCAGCATACTTCAATTATGAATTATCTAAAGATCTAACCTGCTTGATAGAATTTAGCCAAGTACATGTTGAGCAATGAGCTGGTTATCATAGCCGCGGGAATTGAGTAGCCTGGTACCACGACTCCAGCACTTTGTTCGGTGCATTCCTTAAACGATCTGCAGTTTCCTCAAAAACACGAGGCAACCCAGTCTCATGGTAAGGCACGTCTTTTACTACCATGCCTGCCATTCCCTTGGCTGCCAGAAATATTTGAGGCATGCCGTGGCCCGTCCACCCAGCCATAATGAACATTCCTGGCTTGCCTGGTATGGGCCCCAGCCTTGGGAGTTTGTCACGGGAATATCCCATAACTAAAAGTGCGGTGTGTCAGGTCGATACACTCGAAGATGAATAGTCGATAGTACTTACTGCCAGTCCATATTTCCGAGACCTTTGCGCCACTGTTCTCCCACCCACGGAAGTGTCGTTGCATGTATCCGTCAAAGTACTTTCTTGTCTCTTCGATGACCTCAGAATCATCCGTGTTATTGTACCACAGGCCCTTTTCGCGAAAGTAAGCTGAGCGAGCCCCGCCAACAACAATGCTGCCGTCAGGTCGAGGAATGAGATAGTCAAAATCCCAGTCTTTGAATCGAAGGGCATAGGTGTTGACAAGGAGCGGTGCTGGGCTTGGCGTCTCAATATGGCAGCTCACGGCCCGGTAAGGGATTATTTGCTCCCGATATTCAGGTAATAAAGCCGGGGTGTAACTATTCGAAGCGACTATAACCTTACCGGCTTTAACAGGGCCCCGGTTGGTCTCGATCACCCAACCAAATTGAGCATCGGTAGCGCGCAAGACAGAAGTCGCACAAGTATTTGTCTGGAGGTTGAGACTTCCGTGTTTCAGCGCCATGGTGAACATGTGGTGGATAAGTTTGTACGGCCATAGATGTGCAGCGCTGTAGCTGATGCATCCCTTGGCCCCCTTTACACCTGATACCTAATACAGAACTCAAGTCAGAAAGCTGCAAGTCATTGACTCCTGAAATTGCAATAGGGCGGAAAGGGAAATCCACGCACAATTTCGGCGTGGTCTTCTCCCACTTCAGACACCGTTTGGGCGGCGGCAACTCCCGCAGCTTTGAGATTGCGCAAGCGCTCTTTTATTCTCGTATCCTGACTGCTAGAGAAGTGAACGTCGCATGCTCTGGTGACTACAAAATCGCAATCGACGCCTTCACGTTCAATGTACTCCTTAGCGGCATTCAAATTTGCGACTTCAAAATCCGCGACTTCCGCGCCTGCAGCGAGTCCATACTCAGCAGCAATCTCAGAGGCATGAAGGTATGGATCGGGTTTGATGTGGCCACCTAGATGTTTCAAAGTATTCTGTCAGTGATTGCCCATGTGAGTGAATAGAAGGACCACTACCGTTTCGTCCCGATGCCCCAGAGCATAGCTGACGAGCTTCGAGAACCAAAATCGATGGGTGATTAGGATATTGTTTCTGAATGTGTGTGACCAGTGCTGCAGCACTATACCCCCCACCTATGATAACTATGTCGCTTTCATCCGGCAGGTTTGGCGTGGACCGGAAGTTGTCTAGCCCCTGTGGCTCAAGGCGCCAGAAAGGCACCGTGCCATTTTGGTGCGGGAATGAGGATGTCATTATGGTATTGACTGTCGCAAAGCGTCAGAAAGCCGTGGGGTAAATTAACTGCGATATCCAGGGAAAAGCTTCCGTTATTTAGCTTCATCGAGCGATATCCACGCCTTGATTAATGCTGATCGCCTATATTCTCTATCAGGTAATCGGGACCATGTAGACTGGGTTAAATTATTATTTTAGCGGGGTACTCGGTTCATGTGGAGAACACAATCTAGTTCCCTAATCGGGACAGGAAGCGAAACCGAGATGCTACAAATCGCTTCTAAGTTCTTACTTCACTCTCGTAATCTATTTGCAAAGAACTTATATTAACTTACATTTCATTCAGCCTTGCCGAATGGCATTTTATTTTGTTCTGTTAAATACAGAAGTGAGCATAACCTTCCCAGAGCCTAGCTGACACCTCTATTGCAGCAGGGCTTGGTTTTCTATTCTGTTTCCTGTCCTCTTTCAATTATTTGCCTGCATTGCTGTTGCTACCGAATCTGGCCGCTATGTCTGACTTGCATGTTTATCTTATCGCGCCAAACAGCTTGAAATTCAAGCAACCTTTAGGCCTATTCATCGACAATGAATGGAGGCCATCCTCAAAGGGGGCGGGAATTTTGACTATAAACCCCGCGTGAGTTCAGGTTTGGCTATTTGGTAATAAATAGCTAACTTGATGTACGGGCAATAGAAATGAAGAAGAGATCTGTACGGTGCATGCAGCTGACACGAAGGATGTCGACATGGCCGTTGAGGCTGCCCGCCGGGCATTCAACGGAAAGTGGCGAGCGCTAGACACATCTGTGCGCGGTGAGCTGTTATACAAGCTTGCTAGTTTGGTCGAGCAACATGCAGATGTACTGGCCACCATCGATGCCTGGGATAATGGTACGAGACTTTTCCATTCTGCGCGATTCCTCTCCCCATCTAACCTGCATTCTGATTATTCTTTTGTTACAGGGAAGACCTTTCATGCCGCCCGTGACGAGGTTTTGGGGGCTATCACGCTATTGCGATATTATGCTGGCTGGTCTGATAAAATCCATGGAAAGGTTATCGACCCAAATCCGGATAAATTGGCATATGTGATGCGTGAGCCGATTGGAGTTTGTGGCGCAATTATCCCTTGGAACTTCCCTCTAGTCAACATGGTGATCAAGGTGGCTCCGGCCCTAGCGGCAGGCAACACACTGGTGGTCAAAGTGGCCGAACAAACCCCTCTTTCAGCTCTCTACTTTGCAAACCTTGTCAAGGAAGCCGGGATTCCGGCCGGAGTGGTGAATGTGCTCAATGGTACCGGTAGGGAGGTTGGCTCTGCTATAGCAGCTCATGCCGACATTGATATGATTACATTCACTGGGTCTACTCCCACTGGCAAACAAATTATGAAAAGCGCTGCCAGTACGCTCAAGAGAGTCACCTTAGAAACAGGTGGAAAGTCGCCAATGATGGTCTTCCCAGATGCAGATATAGAACAAGCAGTGCGTTGGGGTCACCGAGGCATTATGTCCAACCAGGGGCAAGTTTGTTCAGCAACAAGTCGCATCTTTGTACACGCTGATATCTACGAAACCTTTGTCAATCAGTTCAAAACAGAAGTGGAGAAAATCTCAAAGGTTGGCGACCCTTTCCATTCCGACACCTTCCAAGGCCCACAGGTCACCAGAGATCAGTTTGACCGAGTTCTCTCTTACATGGAGACTGGAAAACGGGAAGGGGCCCGGTTAGTGTGTGGTGGAAAGGCATACAAGAACGTTGGAGGCAAGGGATTTTACGTCGCCCCAACTGTATTCGCGGACGTAACAGACAGTATGACCATTGTTCAGGATGAGGTTTTTGGTCCGTTCGTGGTTATTGCACCGTTTCGTGATGAGGCAGAGGCGATCGAACGCGCGAACAGCACCGTCTTTGGGTTGGGTGCATCCATCTTCACAAAGGACATCTCGCGTGCTTTGAAGGTATCGAAGAGAATCCAGTCCGGCAGTGAGTCTTCCGTTCCTTTTTGGCTCTGTAGCAGTGCTAACGCACGTTCATTTTCTTTTTACAGCGATCTGGATCAACAGTAGCAATGACGATGATGTGCGCGTGCCATTTGGTGGATACAAGCAATCAGGGTTCGGGCGGGAGATGGGCGAGGAAGGCATCGAGGCGTTCACCATTACAAAGTCTATTCACGTCAATCTGAACGCGAGGTTATAAGACATGGTACTAGTCAGGATCGCGTTTTACGATTGGGAGAGAAGCTTTTTTGTATTTTGGACAAATGACCAGAAAAAGTTGTTAAATATCTTATGGATAAAATTTTCCTCGTAGCAACTTCCAATCTTTAACTACCAGGTGCGACACTTTCTTTTCCCAAAGCATTCCAATTTCTAATTACAATCTTTCAACGGGGGCTCGAAAGGAAAGACCGGAGCACCGAATAACGCACGTCATCGTCTTGTTGTTTTCTTAAGGCGAGACCCGAATTTTGGACTTCTCTTCATCATCGCCGTTGACGCATTCCCGCTTAGTGGCCTAATCAGGAAGGTGTTGAGGCCCCACAAGCTTTAAGTGCATATACACCGGAATTTAGGCCGCGCGATATGGCTTTCCCTTTCCGTTTTAGTGCTCACCTTTTGCCGCTTTTTGCTCACTGAGTAAAACTGAGCACGCCCCTGAGTATTACATAATCATCAAACTCGCTCACTGAGCGTCACCCGAGCCAAGTTGGAGAGCAGCTAAGTTTGCGACGCAGCTCACCTCAATAAAATACACCACGCTAGCCCCATCCTAATGCAGTCGTTCACCTAGCACTCTTCACTGTTGTCCCCTCAACGAAAGGCTGGCGTCATCAATATGGCGGTCGATCCTGGTTGTTTCGCCTCTAACCGGCCCCTGTAATTTTTTTTCAAAAAATACGGACCTTCGCAAGCGAGGGTCCGCCACCCATATGCAACTTTTTTCAGACATTTTAATATAACCTCCCTTTACTACACCACAACGTAGTAAATTAATTAATTTAATAAAAGATATGAATTAATTGGCCAATTTACTATTAGAATCCATAATCAATTTAATTCCTACTGCGCTTTTTGGCCCTTCTATACTTCCTGATTTCGATCAACACCTACTTCCACTTCCGCTTCGTTTTTTCTTGATCGGCTTTTTCAGTCAATTTATACTCCTCTCGTTATTCCTTTGACTTAGCTTGAACTGATAATACCGGTAATCTATAAATAACGATGAGAAGTATCGTACCGGACGGTATGACTAGAGGAGCGACGAAAAATGAGAAAAAAACAAAAATAAGGCTAGCACCTACCTAGGGGGAAGCCGCAGATTTATGAGTCTCGGGGACGAAACTCCTAGGAAGAAGGGAGGTGATGTTATGGACCTATTAGGCACTAACCGAGCCGGATACTCTATACCATGAATAGGCTATCGAGAGCCAACCAAATGATCTGTTAGCAGATTACGTGCAACATCCTATACTCTAGTATGCCTAGGTATTAAGGATAAGGAACTAACTCACGATCAGTAAGTAAGAGTATAAATTGATAGTCCGCCCTAAGCAGACCCATCCGGTAGGGATTTTCCGCTATATATACAACTCTCTATATCGGATAATATCTACACTAACAACTACCTATTTGGGTACTACGTACTACGTGACTACAGAAGCTACCCTATAAGCTACTCCTAGGAAGTAGGCTTACGAGTAGATAGTAGCTACTCCGGTAGATACCTAGAGGGGGTAGACCTAGGAGTAGCCACAAAGGATATATAAGGATATTTATATACTTAGTTTAGTTCTTCGTCTTCAATCTTATATTGTTACTTCTATTTATCTTTTTAGAATTGTGACTCGATAACTTTATTATAACTTGACAATACTTATAAGTAGACCAATACCCCGGTATAGATCTACTCGGCGCTCTACCTAGTATCGTTTCCTCGATACCCTCGAAAGGACTTAGGCTGCAGTAAGGCTTTTTAAGCAACAGCTCAGTTGAGAGACAGATCGTTGACGTTGGAAACCTGAGGAGTATAAGGCAAGTATACCCAGATCCCATCTAACCTAACTGTGACCAGTTTGCAGTGCGTAACTATATATCTCTCTCTTCGCCCTCACTTTCTAAGGTATTAGACCCGTGGGTAGGGTCATAGCCATGTCTAGGCATAGTGGATGAGAACATTAATGCTGCCAAAATGTAGGGCACTAAGAAACAAGAAACATGAACTCACACAGCTAAGGATACATACACTTCTTTCCACCTTATGAAATGTCACCTCCCTGTTGTCACAATTGACCTAAATATGAAACTTAGTCTCTCTTCTCATATCCCCTGCCAGTCCCAAACTTTCTCTGCTAAGAATTGCAGTTCCCCGTCGTCGATCTGAATATTTCGTTCTCTCGGTTCGATGGGGGGTCTCAGGAAGAGCTTTTCGAACTCGATAACCAGAGGAGACCCCGTGGTTGTGATTTTACTGCCCTTCCTTGAGATCTGAACGGTTTGATGAAGGTGGTTGACAGATTTGTCGCCCTGGGTTCCCCAATCCTCGATGGTGATGTTGGGGGAGTGTTGATTGATTTGGAGGGTGATTACCACCTTCACATCGCCCCCTGAAGCTCGGAGCCAGTATCTTATATCTGACTGCAGCTTGTCCCTACTCTCTGAGAAAGCAACTTCCAGTACGACACTGGGCCAGTCCTTTGATCGGCCGCGTGGGAGTCGGAATGGCTGCCACGCCTTGTCGGCTTCTTTAGCCCCTATTGCAGCATGGTGGGTAGCACTTCCGGTTGGGTCAAGGGAGCGATCCATCCCCATAGGCTTGATTGCATCGTAGAGTAGGACTTGGAAGATTTCCGAAGCGACTTCATGGGCTTTAGACTTGGTCACTCTTAATAGCACACGGTCTAACTGGGCGTCATACGAGGACCAGGAAGCAAATGGGCCTTCTTTTGCCAGAAGAAATTCACTTGTGAATATTGAATTGTTAACGCGTTTGATAAGAAACCATTCACTGGTAGTGGCCTTGCTTGCTGTCGCGACTGCTTGCTTGATGGTGTTGAGCAACTGCTCCCGGTCCCGATATTGGTAGACTGGGAGAACGGAAGGTGCAAGGTCGCCTAGGAAGCCGCGACCGGCTGGGTCTACATTATCCATGGCCATCTTGTCTCCGAGATGGATTTGCAGAGTTGAATTTACTGAGGCTAAGGGGGATAGAGCTGGTCTACGTAGCTAGAGAGTGGTGGACGTCAGTGACATCAGTCCCATGTCAGCGTCTAGCTTCCATCACTAGCTCTAGCTTCCGTCACTAACATCTCACTGACAAGACAAATCTCTATGACTGAGCAACAGGTGTATTGGGACAAAGATTTCTGTAGTCATGAGGCTACATTCGATCCCAGGTGAGTCTCACCAGACTTATATTAACTTGCGACCAAAATGAAGCTAGCCTCTCCAACGCGACTAATAGAATTTACGAATATCCCTATGGCTATTTAGCAATCCGCGAGGCCTGCGTAAAATGCATAATGGATATGTACAAACATCAATATGATAATCATTGGCACTGGCTTACATATACTTATTACAGCCCAGGGAAATGTCCCATGGCCGGCCATGATGTGCCCACCTTGCCATCCAATTGGCCACGATGAGCAAAAAGGCCCATGGGGCATTAGTAACGTGACCATGTTGATGAGTCTCCTCGCGCTCATCCATGCTGTCTCAGTAACCCTCGCAAAGCTGCTGCGCAAGGCAATTCGCAGAGGTATCAACTGTTACTGGGAAGTACCAGACAAAGAGCCTCTCGAGGAGAGGGTTGGAAGACTTGAGAACGACCTCCGTTCTCTGAAGTTGGGGATGACCGAGGAAATGCACAATCTGAAGAGTGATCGGCAGGGCGATCGTTCTCGAATCAAGAGACTGGAGGACTCGCACTCAGATCTGAAGGAGGACAAGAAGGTCCTCCATAAGAGGGTCATAACTTTGAAAGAAAGCCTTGAGCATAGAGCCAAGGTTGAGGTTGGGGAGGGTATTTTGCGCCGGCGCCGGCAGCCTGGTAAGGAGTGGTCAAAGGATAAGATTTCGCGATGGAAATGGCAGCGCGTGAATTGTGAAATCTAATTACCGGAATAGCCTTGCAGACGTTTCAGCAGTGGACTTGCAGTAATCCCTTCTAACGCTTAGGGTCAGTGCCTTAGTGCCTGATTCTGGCCTGCGGGCCTGAATTAAGACCAACAGAAGAAATAAAATAACTAACGTATTTCACAAGCGAGTGACGCACACAAGCGAGTGACGCACACAAGCGAGTGACGCACACAAGCGAGTGACGCAGTCCGATACACATAGTAAATGCGATAAACTACAACCTTATATGTCCACAACAACGTCCTTGTTTGATTTCATATTTACTCGATAGCTGTTGATAAGAATTTTAAATGCTATATATCAATTTCAAGGCAATCAAA